CCAGATGGATATGCGGAGCAAATCCATCTGGCGGAGTCTGGTTAATGTGGAGGATTTTTATGAATTTTATGAAAAGATCCACCGACTCCTAAATAAAAAAGCAAAAGCACAACCCTGTACCAGCTCCTGAGAGGGAATGCCTATTAAAAGCGTGCAAGAGCATGCACGAGCCAATTTCTCCTCGTGCACACCCTGTTTAACAGTTTCTGTTCTCATAGCTCATACAAGCTTACTGTGTCCGAACGTCCACCATAACTAATATTTCCCTCAATCACTTATAGAGCGGGGACTGACTGTTTGGACAGATGATCATGTTTTGCTGCCTGTTAGGAACGTAACTCCTCCTCCTTTGCACTTCAACTTTTGCACTTTTTCTCTTATGACCCTCAGCCATTTTCAAAGAACCGCGGCGAGAAAGGTGAGCTTCAATGACTGTCTGAAAGCCATAGATATACGCCTGAAAGTGCGCATGTGAAGATAAAGATAGGTAACTGGACAAGCATCTAGGATGGCCTTACGTAAATATATCACCAGAATGATTGACAAGTAGGAGGACCACTTATTTATATGATCAATCCGGAAATAAAATATCTTCCTATTTACCTTTAACTTCAACAAAATTACACCAAAAACAATCAGTAATATATTTTCAGATCCATTTTCCAATCATTAGATTCAAAAACATTATTGATACTGTTTTTGCAAGGGTTTTATGATTTTTCTTTATTTTAAAACATAGAGAAAGAAAGAAATTGGTAGAACTTTAACACTAGGACTCCCAGAATTCGGATCCTACTAGAACTCCCACTGCCAGTCATATATATTTTCTCAATGGAATGCCAGTCTGGTGATGATGTCATCAAGTGAAATGGTTATAGAGTGCCATATAAACCCATTGTTGATATGTAGACCTTAAAAGAAAAGTTTTTTCTACTGCATAATTGCGCTATATATACAGTATTTGTCTCTGAACTTCCCAATCAATGCGTTTTGCACCATGTTTTTTTTCCTCCCACGCTATTTACATTTGATCACTGCTGCACTTTATGAAATGAAAATATTAATTTCACTGCTAAGCTGCTGCTCATTTAACTGTCTGAAAGCCGTACAAAATGAAATTCTGTTTTGTATACACTGTGTATACGAAATTACAATAAAAGTTGT